TGTATTGGGGAAACTGAAGCTGGGCATGGTGGCATACTCCTGAAAACCCAGTAACTCAGGAGGTTGGGGCAGATGGATTGCAAGTTTAAGGCCATCCTGGGTAACTTAGTGAGATCTTGTCTCAAAATAAAAAGGGCTGGGGATGTAGCTCAGTCGCAAAGCATCCCTGAATTCAATCCCCAGTACTGGTGGGAAAAAAAAAAGGTGGGGGACAGCTGAAACTTAAAGAGGTCTCACAGCTAGAACAAAGAGAAGGGGGCACTGGAATCAGGAGTTGGCCTCTATGCTACTATGCTCTATTGTATTTATATTTCTATCATGAAGTGTCTTACTTGGCTAGATCTGGCCATAACTCACCTTAAATGAGTACCATGGCCTCTAAGCAGTGCTGAAGGCTGCTCAGTAGGCTTCAAAGAGCTTACTGCTGTGGAAGAGTGGTACTGAAATTAGAAGTCATGGTAGGGATGCTTCTACCTGATAGAAGTAGCTGTAGGCTGGTTATTTGGGGAAGGCTCTCAAAAGAAGTGAAATCGTGTTGCCTCAGCCTTGTCTTAACCTGTTTTTGAATTATAGGAACCAAACTTCCAAGTACTAATTTGCAGAATGCCAGCTAACTAATTTACAGAAATATAGACACATCCTTCTAGTATATAATCAGAATATTCACTGCTCAGAGAACTTCTAAAATTCAATGTTCATGGAAACCTCCTTTGTCATCATAACTTCATCTGTTGAACTCAAGTGAGAGTAAAGGGAAAGTCTGGTGCTGCTGTCTGTAGTCCTACGAATGCAACCAGAACTATGAAAGTACAGAGGCAATCTAGGAAAAGGAGCTGAGGAACCAGCACAACAGAAGTGCTACCACTGAAGGGGGCAAGGGTGCAGGGCACAGTGGGATTTATAAAGCTCATCCTCTTACTTATATGTGGAATCCAAAAGAAGAAAGGTGAACAGTGAGTGGGGTACAGAAAAATGGTAAACGGTGGTTATCATAAGCAGGGAGCAGGGGAGAGGAGAAAATGGAGAGGTTTAGGTTAAAGGATCCAGAATTGCAGGTGTGCAGGATGAGATCTAATATACAACGTGAGGACTTAGTTAAAATAATATTTGGGATTTTTGCTGGATGAGTAATTTTAGGTGCTCTTACCATCCGCCCCCACCACGAACACTATGTGAGTAGTCATATTAATTTACTTCGTTACACTGATCATTTCACTATGTATATATGTAAGAACATATTGTATGCCCTAAATATATAAGAAAAATGTATTTCTGAAAGAAGTCCAACAAAACCTACTTGAATTTCACAAAAGCACTTTCTCTTAAAATACATAGTGCAGGGCTGGGGTTGTGGCTCAGCGGTGAAGTGCTTGCCTGGCATGTGCAAGGCCCTGAGTTCGATCCTCAGCACCACATAAAAACAAATAAACAAAATAAAAGGTAAAAAAAAAAAAAAATACGTAGTGCATGAAAAGAATTTTGTATGCACACACCTGAAACTGACAGTGAACAATTGGCAGTAAAATGGATCAACTGCCAGTGATCCAGGACTACTACTGCTAAACAAAATAAAGATCAGAAGAGATTATTGAGAAATAAACAAAATAAAGATCAGAAGAGATTATTGAGAAATATTGACTAAGCTTCATGGGAACCTGGAACACATAAAGACAGATATCTACAGATATCATTTCTAAATTATCACTCAGATTAATTAATAAAATTATCACTCAAGAGTATTAGCAAAGGCTGGACTTTTTAATGATATCTGTATATGTTTCCCTGATATGTACTTAGAATGCAAAAGAAGAATGTCTTGAGTAAATATCTTCCTATTTGGAATGTGCAGAAACATAATTTACTAATCTGGTTTTATTCAACAAGCGGGGACTAAATTTTTTTCTTCAAAGACACAATCACAGAACAAGAGAATTAAACAATCTGAGTGTTCCTGTAACAGAATTTGATGTTTTATTCAGCTTGAATTAAAGCAATGATGAATCACACTTGAGTTTCAGACTTATAAGATCAATGATATCAACATACTGTGATCAGAAGCAATTAATTAGTGCTATAGTTTGATTTAAAATCTTTTAAACTTTAGGACTGGGGATGTAGCTGAGTGGGAGAGTATTTGTCTTCAACGTGGGAGGCCCTGGGTTCAATCACTAGCATTGAAAAGAAAAAAGAAAAAAACAACCCCCAAATCTTTAAAATTTCAAAACACATCTTTTAATTTCTTTTAGCACATAAAATAATTTATTCATGAAAGTTATGCCTATAATTTAAAATAAATAAATAGCACAATTTTGCAATTCTGATTTTTACAAGAACATAAACCTTTCTGGAATATAATATTTTACCAAATTGGAAAGCTAAGTAAATTCAACACAAGCATTCAAAACCATCAGACTTTGGAAATCAACTTGGTGATAAGAAAAATTCATTGGAATACATAATCAGTGGAAAAATGGGGTCTGGTGCCATCTACTGAATGACCATAGTAATATGTTCTTGAATATTCATAAAATTAGGTAACCCTATGATTTTAGCTACATAAAACTTACAGTTGTGGATGAGTGCTGTTTTCTTTTGTCTTTACATGCCATTTTATCCTTTAAAAGAAGTGAAATTAAATGGTAGTTAAAATGGTTACTTAACAAAGGGCATACTGAAGAGCAAGATGCTTTGGCAAATTGGGAAAATAAGAATTTCCATGATTAAGAGTGTCTCAAGAAGGGTTATCTTATTTTTATTTTAGGCAGGAACTCATAGGGGTAAACACCTGTTTGTTGTGGGAGGGGGGGTGAAGACACATCCCTTCAAGCTGTGTTTTTGTTTGTTGTTGTTGCTGTTTCAGATAAAGCTTCCCAGAGAAAAAAACGCATGAAACCACTTTAAACTAGCTCAAAATCACCAAGTTATTATTCAGGGTGACTTAGAGTGAAACTTGCTCATTATAATATCATAATGTTAAATTCTCCACCACAGAGGCACTCTCATCCACCATTTCAAACATGGACCCTGTGAAGAGACTGACCTCTAACTGCCATGTGCAGGAATGTGCTTACCACCTATGATAACAATCCCCCCCAGAAGGTGCACACAAGCCTCTCTCCAGTAACACCCCTTCATTCCATAAGAGGCACTATTTTGAGATAAGATCTCTAGTGTTCTCCTTAGCTGTTGCAAGTAGCAAGCCTTTCTTGATTCTTTCATCTCCTGGTTGTGCTTTTTGGCTTTGTGCTCATCAAGGGGTGAACTCATTTTGTTTGGTTGTATTATGAGGAGGCTGGTGGGGAGACAATTGTGTCCTTGGGTATTTATGGCAGGTTAAAATTAAAGATTTAATTTTCTCTACTTTTTCATAACAAGCTGGGTTATTTAAAAATTTATCAACTCAGACTGTCAATAAAATGGCATTTAAATAAAATGGAACAATGATAACTGATACCCACAATGACTATTAGGATGGGCAAAAATCCCTGAAGTGCTTTTCTGGTTAGCAAAACCAAAATCAAAAGTTTTTTTTTTTTTTTGTAGTTGTAGATGGACATCAAACCTTTATTTTGTTTATTTTAATGTGGTGCTAAAGATTGAACCCAGTGCCTCACACATGCTAGGCAAGCACTCTGCCACTGAGCTACAGCTCCAGTCCCAAAAAGTGAATTTTTGTTTGGTAAATAAAGTTCATTCAACCAGGCCCTGCCCCTATCACCCCCAATAGTGCAGACTGAATCCAGGAGCGCTCTAAAACTGAGCTATATCTTCAGCCCTTTTTCATTCTTTTTGAATTTTGATAGGGTCTTGCTAAGTTGCCAAAGCTGGCTTAGAGCTTGTGATCCTTGTGCCTCAGCCTGTCAAGTTGCTAGGATTATAGGTGTCTACTACCACCCCCAGGTTCAGACCTCTTTAATAAAACAGTGATGGAAGCTAGGCTGGGAGAAGAATGTCTGTAATCCCAGCAACCCATGAGGCTGAGGCAAGAGGACTGCAAGTTCCAGGCCAGCCTCAGCAACTTAGTGAGACCCTGTCTCAAGATAAAAAAATAACAAGGGCTGGGGATATAGCTTTGTGGTAGAGTGCCCCTGAGTTTAATATCCGGTCCTGCAAAAAATCCCAAACCAAAAATCAGAATCACAATGCTACTATTCACTTATAAAGAGAAATGAAGTTGTGATTTGTGGTACACAATGGATAATCCTTGAAAACATGCCAAATAAAAGAAGCGGTCACAAAAGAACAAGTAGAAAGTGGTTGTTTGGGGTGGGTGGGGGGCAGGGAGTGAACAAAATGGGTGGATCGAGTGATGGTATCTAATACAGGGTTTCTTTTTGAGGCAATGAAAATGTTCTAAAATTGACTGTGATATTGGTTTTGCATATATTCAAAAGTATATTAAAAATCATTGAATTGCACAGTTTAAATGTGAATTGTATGATATGTGAATTATATCTCAACAAACCTATTTTTAAAAAAAAAAAAATCACAATGCTGAGAGCATTACTGTCTGGCCACAATCCCAAGAGTCTTGGAAAGGCTAACTTCCTGTAACATTTTCATGGACTGGTAAAGGTTTATTTTTCTTGGTAGTAGCTTTTGCGAATGTTACTTTCTATAATGTCCAGAATATTCTGAGTACTAAGAGCATGCCTAAGATATGTTTGTGGTTGTTCTTTCTCTCATAACATTGTTCATGACCCATAATTTGCTTCTCATTTACCTCTTCCAAAAGGGCAGGGCCTTTCTCTTCATTACCACACACCCGCACTTGTTAATGTCTGGCACACATAAATGCTTAATAAATGTCAGCTGGTTGAATGGATAAATAAATGTAAGAATGAATCTCATACAGATCAATTGACCTGGGAAGAAGGAGAAGAAAAAAAAAATCCTCATAAATAAAGACAATAAAGAAAAGAAAGATACTCAACAGTTGGGATTTGATGTAACAAAACAAAACAAAACAAAACAAAAACCCAAAAAACCCTGCCTTTGTTCAATTGATATTTGAAGATTTAAAATATCTGAAAGATTTCAAGTGATAGTAACATAAAAAGTGTTCTCTGGAAGACTTATTTACAAATAAGTTAATGAAAACTCTATTACTATAATAGGATGTAACAAGAACCTAGTGTTTTGTATATTTCAAGACGTAGAATATTCTGCTGAATATACCAGGTGAGTGTCTAGAGTCCCATAAAGGGAGTGCAGCACACTGAGGATCTTTTCTTGAATGGTGTCAACTTGTTCAGAAGGACAGTAATCATCCAGACTTGACCTGGAACCAAGAATAAAAAAGAGAAAAAATATACACAAATATAAGATAAAAACCACACTGTGAAGAAGGAAGAGGCTGCATGTGTTGATTTCAATGTAAAATAGAAATGTAGGTGTTTTCAATTCTTTCAACAGTTGAAAGTTAATAAATAATTACCCTGTCAGGCACTTTACATGAATTTTGTTCCTTAATTTTTTCAGCAATTCTATAAAACAGGTACAATTACCTCCCTATAAAGGAAATTAAAACAAAGAAGGATTAACCTGTGCAAGGTCACACAGTTAGTAAGTAAGTGCTAGTGACAGGTTTCAAACCATGTGATGTGATCCTAAGTGCTTACTAACTACTACTCTTCCCTGAAAGGGAGATGTTGCTGTAGGGCACAGGAATTTATCATCTCAGTGACTGGGTGTCTTTCTTATTTTTATTATGTTTACGCTAGGGCTAGAAATGAGTAGGGTAAAGGTTTTCTAGTTGATGAAAGGGTTCTACTTCTTCAAACAATTTGTTAATCCCATAAATGGAAAGGATCCATGGCTTGGTCCAAAATGAAATGCCGGAATTTGATGACATTAGGATTAATTTCCTATGTAGGATGAAGGAGAATGGAGCAAAGTGGGGTGGGCAGCAATTTGTATTTTGGGAGTCTTTTTAGAACTCCCTAAAAACAATTTGAGTTGCACTGAGCAGCTACAATGTTACTGACAATTACAGTATTAAGATGTGAAAAGATTTGATCAGTGACTCTTTGTTCTAGATTGGGGTGAGGAAAACCGTTTAGAGTATGAATGGAGAAAGTGGCATAGGAAATCCTTTTGGAAGAAACTGGAATTAGCAGTCTACTTCTTTGCATTTGTTATTAGAGATTAAAAAATAATATTAAAGAAATAATCTGTAAGACCTCTAACAAACTCATTCCATTCTCTGGTGACTGTGTTAGTTTTGAGGCTTGATGTAAACATTTAAGACACAATAAATAAATGATAAATAAAGTGTTAAATTTTTAAATACTAAGTTACACATATGGATAAAGACCTGCTTAAATCAGAAGACTACTGGGTTGAGGAGTCTCTCAAGGATGATCAGAGAATTCATACAAAAGTCATCCTTTCCATATAATGAAGTAGATGGTATCACTCGATACAGTGTTTTAGATGAACCTAAAGTGCTGGGAGAGGAATTTTTGTTGGTTGATTTGGGTTGAATGGTGAGCAGCCACTATACAGCTCAAACGAACTATTTCTTGTTGAATGGCATAAAACCACTTCCTTCAGTTCTATACCACAGCCACAGTTTCTTTAAAGAGTAAGGTTTCCTTATCAGGGCTGGAAACCTGAGTATTCTAGGGTGATGTCTGAGAAGGGAAAAGACTCAAATGTTTATGGCTTTATTGGATACAAGTGGCCAAGTCAACAACTTGCCAATTCTGATGGAGGTAGGGGCTCCTAGATTTAGCTAATATGGTTTGGAAGGGAAACAAAAGTAACTTGGTGGATGGAACTGTTTAGGTCAGTACAATCAATATACTGTTGTTACTTCTATATCTCAAAGTGTAGTAGTGCTGGGGATGTAGCACAGTGATAAGGTGCTTGCCTAGCATGTGTGAGGCCCTTGGTTCAATCCCCCCATTGCCAAAAAAAAAAAAAAAACCGTAAGAATCAATATGGTATATGCTCTATTTTCCACAAGTCATACAAGGAATTCTCCCAGTCAGGAAGAATGGAATGTGAAGAAGAAAATCAGCTCTTAGCTTACTCTTGGGCTCTTTTACACAGTGGAAACCTTTGGCTTCAGTAGAGGCCTCTGCCTTAAATTCCAGTTTTGGGGTATGTCATCTTGGATTCAACAACTAACAAAATGAAGATAGCCCAGCAAGCCTCAACTAGCGGAATGAAAACTGTTTAAACTGCAGATTCATAGGACCACAGTGTCTTAGCTGTACATGAAACAATAGCAGGCTTTTGTTAAAAGAGAAATTTATCTCCTACTTTGTTCCTGAAACAAAATTTCTGGCTTAGTAGGACCCTCAGTTTGTGGAGGTCAATCTAACTGGGCCTTGTTGGCTAACTTGAAAGCACTAGAATGTTGTATCTGCTTTAATTTGTCTTCATATACTCCAAAATGAAAGTGGTCACTCCTCAGTGAACAGATCACAAGGATTTCTCAACACTGTCCAGTACTTCATTTCATAAACCATGGCCTTACTCTTGGGCTTTTTTACACAGTGCATTCTGATTGACCCTTGGGCTATTGCTGTGGCCTAGCTATTGTAAATTCCAATTAGAAACTATATACAGATTAAAAAAAAAAAAAAAAAAGACCTGCTTAAAAGTATCTTATGTAAAAGCTTTACTTATAAGCTTTAATAAGGGTATTCAATGGCTTTCAAATTTTTTGGGCTGGGATTGTGGCTTAGTGGTAGAGTACTTGTCAGGCAAGCATGAAGCTCTAGATTTGATCCCTGCTCTGTGGTGGTGGTGGTGATTTCTAAATTCTTTTAAACACTACTGCAATGGTACTTTATGGGAGCTACCCCCAAGAGGGGGTTTTGGAAATTTGTAGGTATATTTTTGATTGACATAGTGACTAGAGGAATATTATTGACATTCAAGAGACTGGGGGAAGAGGGCTAAACTGTTGGGATGCTTTCAACAGTCCTGCAATATGAATAATTATCCCTATGTCCTGTGTACTTTTCCAAAATCATGGAGCATTCACCAAGTGAGAAACCAATTTTTAAATTTTTGAGCCTAGAATTTAACACTTGTATTTTTTGAAAATGGATTAGATATTAACGAATTTTCCAGGAGTGCAACTACTCTGTGAATTAATACTGGACTTTTAAGGTAAGGCCTTTATTAAGAAGTTATTCAATAATGAGAACAATCACATCATCGTGGTAGTGCTATTGGTAGTATTTAGCATGTGGTTATCTGTCTGCCTTTGTAACTGCTATGCTAGTGATGCTAAAGATGCATCTGGTCTAGTGTTTTAATACATATTGTAGGCTCTGGAGAGAGTCTGTTCCCTGGCCTTTTCTAGCTTCCAGAGGCTGCCTCATTCTCAGCTTGTGGCCCCATTCTTCACCTTCAAAGGTGCTGCATAGCACTTTCCAAGCTTTTTCTCTCTCTGATTCTGATCTTTCTGCCTTCCTTTTCTTAGGATCCTGTGATAATACTGGTCTACACAGATAAACTCTTCATCTCAAAATTCTTAGTTAATCACACTCAAATTCCCTTTACCACAATAAGGCAGCATATTCACAGGTCCAGAGATTAGGACATGTATGTCTTTGGTGGGCCGTTATTGAGCTTACTGCACTTACCTTGCAATTGTCACAAGAGTAGGTTTTGGTAAACTTTTCAGTAAGCAATATACAGACTGAATAAGGTACTCAATTTCTTGCTCTGTGCTGATATGGTGAGGAAGTTCTGAATAATCACAGGTTAGACCAGCTTGGTGAACCTGAAAATAAGACAATTAAATTGTACTGTAAGACTGTTGATCTTAAAAGATTCTTTGATCATTAATGGCCCTAATAACAACATATCTTCTAATTTTTATGGATTAGGATTGTTTTCCTTAAAACTTTCTAATCCACAGAGGTTATTTGCATTCTGAAGTTTTGGTAGAATTGGCCTGTACAATTGTCTGGGCCAATATCTTTTTTTAGGAATAATTCTTTACTTCTTTATTTTATGATTATCAGTTTCTCTTTGAGTTGATTTTGATAGTACATATTTTCTGGCAAATTATATGTTTTATTTAGATTTTAAAAGCTGATATAAAAGTGTATATAATATACACACTCCACTTTTTATGCTATTTCATTTACTTTTTAAATACAGGCACTCTATATTACATTCAAAGCTTTGATACAATAGAATGTTTTCCTCCCACTTTAACATATTGTTTTCTTGCATATCCTTTGTATGTATAACCACACATTACCAGTATCTATCTTTTTTTTTTTTTTTTTTTGGTGTGTGTGTGGTATTGAATCCAGGAGTCCTCTACTACTGAGCTATGTTCCCCTATACCCTCCTGTTTGGGGTACTGGGGCTTGAACACACAGACTTGTGTATGCTAGGTAAGCACTCTACCACTGAACTATATCCCTAACCTCTTTTATTTTTTATTTTGAGACAGGGTCTCTCTAAGTTGCAGAGGCTGGTTTTGAACTTTGCAATCCTATCTCAACCTCCTAAATAGTTAGGATTACAGGTGTGTACCACTGAGCTTGGCTAGATATGTTTTAAAGATAAATAAATGGTATTCCAGTCTTACTTTATTAAAGTAAATAGGTTTGAAAGCTAGAAGTGGCTTGCAGGCTGTCTTTTTTCAACTTCAACTTTGAAGTTTGAAAACTGGAATACAAATATATCATAGCTTTATCTAGAGTACATAAGTATAAAACTTAGAAAAACACTCTACTTTACTGGTGGCTTTGGATATGCGCCAAAGATATAATTGGCAGTGATCAGTTAATGATGGATTCTGCATGTTCTTTTCCACTAAAATGATCAGAGTTCTCACACTACAGCTATAAGCACATCATATTTGATTATGTATCTATGCTGAGTCTCTGCCACCTCTTTTCCCTCAAACATCACACAAAATTCCTCAACAATCAAAATTAAGATGCTATGAAAAGATTAAAGCACACTTGCTTGAAGACATGTTAGATGATATAACAGGAGCTCAAAAGCATTTTCAAACTCTAAGCATCTTCTAACTACATCATTTTTAACAAAAAAGAGCAAACCTTGTTTTAGCTCAGGGTTAACTAAGATATTCTTTGGTGATAAACACACACACACATATTCTTCTTATAAATTGAGCATTAAGCCAATACTTAAATGTCAGCTCAAAAAACTGCTCTGATTGTATTTTACAACCAAAGAAAACATTCAACACCTTTTATTGAAGAGAAGCACCAGATAAGAGGCAGAAGACATGCGTGTCTGAGCTCTGGCATAGATCTGAGAAAAGTCAATTGACCTTCTTAAGTCTTAGTTTTTCCTAACTCCAGTACTGAGGAAAATGGGAAAATATATGCTTCAAAAACTGATATAAAAATAGAAGAAATCATAATTAAAAGTATCTTTGGTCACAGCATTCAGATCACTGTTGACTAACAAGAAAGAGCTAACACATTTAAAATGTATCAGCTACTGCTCTTTTACCTTTTCTTGGTTTTTAAAATTAGAGAAGTTTTTTTTCCAAAGAGGAAAAGAAGAGCCAATAGGAGTATAAGTAGGAATTAATAAGGAATGAACAACTTTAGAAATTATGAACTTATTCTTGTCTGGGAAAGAGAGAGATGATCACCAACAAAATAATAATAATAAAAGTACATAGTTCTTTTGCTTCATACATAAAATTTGGAAGAAAATGTTTTTCTTAGAAAACTTTTCAGTATTCTGGCTTCTATAAAATATGTATTTTTTCACTTATTTCTTAATAATTCATTCAGACTTCAGAAAAACAAATAAAAATCAATCACTTTAACAAAAACCAATTTTTTTCCACCCAGGAAACTGTTTTTATAAGAGGTCAACTTTATGTTTTAATATAAAATACTTACCATTTCGTAATCTGGCACTTCCATCCGTTTTTTCAAACTCTGTACAAGTGGAACTAGTGATTCCATTCTGAAAAAAAGCCATCCCACTCAATGAAACACCAAAACCACCTCAACTAAAATTACAGTAGCAAATAATACATTACACTTAATATTTACTATAAATAATATGCTTCATACAATGCTTGGAAAGATAAAAACTGTTCAAGTCTTACCTTAAAATACTACGAAATAAGTGTTCTTTATTATCTTATCTACTTTTCCTTATCTATTGCACAGCTCCCAGCCCTACCACCTCCTTCACAATTCCAACAAGAGTCTAAACTCATGATGTTGTAGTATTGTTGAGTCTTCAACTCTGCCCTGGAACTTCCTGCAGATGCTGAAGAACTACCTGGGCATGCTCAGCAGCAGACAGGGTTTCAGTGGAAGGTCTACAGTTGGTTCAGGACTCCAAGGCTTCTGGCCTATTTTTGTTCTTGCTGGTGAAGTTTAAACTCAGCTTAAGACTTCATGGAATCACAAAATAGTGAGTACTTTTCAGTATTTCTAAGAAGACTCATGTCATGAGAGTTATTTATCTCCCTCTTCCATCATAATTTTAAAAAAGAAGCTGGGCGCGGTGGCGCACGCCCATAATCCCAGCAGTTAGGGAAGCTGAACAGAAAGATAGTGAGTTTAAAGCCATCCTCAGCAACTGCAAGGTGCTAAGCAACTCAGTGAGCTGTCTCTAAAACAAATACAAAATAGGGCTGGGGATGTGGCTCAGTGGTCGAGTGCCCCAGTATTCAATTCCTGGTACCAAAAAAAGGAAAAAAAAAAAAAAAGAGGGTATCACTTGTAGAACCAGTTCCCTATATTTAAGGAAAAAAAAAAATCATTAACTGATGTTCAAGTGCCTGATCAATCTTTACTGCTGTGATGAAACAATTAGGCATTATTTTATACCAATTCTTTAATGACAATGACTAAATCTTTATGAATATCTTAAAGTAAAAGTTACAATGAATATTTTGAATAAGTAATACCTGTACATAGCAAAAGAAGGCATCACTTGGTCATATACTTCATCTTTTAGCCATGATTTCTTTCTCCAGAGGCAACCACTGTCCCAGTTTCTGCATTCTTCTGGACAGCTGATGAATTACTTTCAATACCCATCATGACAAATTTGGTAGGTTTGTGATTCTAATTTCTCATGTAATGTTGTTGTTTTATAGCTGATTGTTCTCTACAGTGTAAATAGAAGCAATCTCACAACATGTGGGAGATTGTTTTAAAATAAACTAATTTTGATCTTCCTATGCACATGAGGATAAAAATTTGCCTATGGTTTTTACTCTTCTGGCTCTCTGAATTTACATGATTTAAAGAATTATTATAAAGAAAAGCAACTATAATATCTATGTTAATACACTTTCATACCAGGTCCAATATTAAAGGATTTCATCCCCCTCCACATTTTCAAAGTAACATTAACAATGAAAGAATCGCCCAAATAAATCACCTGATGAAGAATTAGACTTTAAATCCTGCTCTTAATGGACAGATTGAAAATAAACTCCTTTAGTTATAGTTGGGCTATTCTTTTTTTTTTTTTTTTTTTTAACTAAAACACAATAATTGTACATATTTATAAGATATAATGTAGTACTTCCATACATGTATATAGTATATAATGATCAAATCAGGGTAACTGGCATACTCATTATCTCAAACATTTATTGGGTTAGTCTTTTTTTTTTTTTGCTACTAGAGTTTGAACCTAGGGGTACTTAACCACTGAGCCATATCCCCAGTCCTTTTTTATTTTGAGACAAGATTTCACTATGTAGCTTAGGGTCTAAGTTGCTGAAGCTGGCTTTGAACTTGAATTCCTCCTGCCTCAGTCTCCTAAGTTGCTAGGATTACAGGCATGTGCCACCACACCTGGCTTGTTAGGTAATTCTTAAAAGGAGCCAAGTTTTCATACTGAAATTTACTTGTCAAGTAAATTTACTTCTCTGTTAAGAGATTAGTTTTTTTGTTCTACTTAGAACAGGGACTGCCCATCTTTAATTCTCCAAAAATCTAGTATAATAACTTACATTTAGGAGCTGCTAATGCACAGTAACAAAAAGATGCCCACTTACGATGCAACTCAGGGCAACTTACTTGAACTCTGTGCCTTGCTTTCCTCTGAATTAAATGGACATAATAATAATGAATCCCTTGGGATGGGGTTTAGCTCAGTGGTAGAATGCTTGCCTTGCAAGTGTGAGGCACTGGGTTCAATCCTCAGCACCCCCAAAAATAAATAAATAAAAATAAAGATATTTTAAAAAAATAGGTCTTTAAAAAAATAATGAATCCTACATTGCTATAAGAAACAAAGTTACATAATGCAAGAGAACTCCATAGAGATAGAGCAAACAAAACATTAAATAAATGCTAACTATTATTAGTAAATCTGTGGGGATCAAACCCTGGGCCTCACACATGCTAGGCAAGTAAGTGTTCTACCACTGAGTTACATCTTCAGCACTAATACTCATTTTTAAAAAGCAATATATTTAACACATTTAAAGACACATTTGGAACTGAAAATTGACAAATTTGAGGAAAAAAAATGTTTGGGAGTCTTACCCAGGGTTTGAAGCCCATTTCTGTACAGTTTCTTCATCATCACCATCACACAAATCAGCAAAAGTTGCTTCTAAATCTTCTAATTGATGAATTCGAGTATCAACAATATCTACCAAATCTTCCTATAAATACATTGAAAAACTAAGATTATGTTGTTATTCCTTCAAAAAACAAGTAGAATCTTATTATAATGAAAACCTTAAGTTCAACTGGTCAATACATGATTTCCAAGTACTAACCATGGGTTATATAACATAACACACACACACACACGTGCACACACATGAATTTGGGATCCTTTAGTCCTTTGGGATCATTCTAATAAGTTCAAGATATAATTATGATATATGTGATAAATATAAAATTCAGAAAAAACAAATAGTAGATACCTCAGTTAAGTTGCTACTAGGCTTTTTAAACTGGTACAATTCTTGTAAGATTTTGTATTCTTCCTGAAAAACAAAACCAAAATATCTTGTTAATTTTTTCAATGGTATACTTTAAGCAAACAACAGTCTTGCCTGTGATACAAGGAGAAGATCTTAGATAATTATTCAAAGGGAAAATATGCATTTAAGATTGCAGTTGTAAATATAATTTCTTCAGAGAAACTCTACCCAGCTGGGCATGACAATGAAGTAAAGAAAGCATGGGAGAACAGGTGGCTACTGGGTCATTAGAACATTTTTAATAACATCCCATTATATCAGTGGTTATATTCTAGGATCTAAATTGATTTTAGCTTTTAATATCGATGATATACATATCTATAACAATCACAACAAACTCTCTATGTCCACTGTGCAGCATTTCTCAAGCAACAGAAGAAAACTCTGAGTATTAAGGCAATAGCAGAGCAGACTGGCAGACAATGAACCTCAGTTAGGTGGCTCTATCCCCAACAAGAAAGACGCCTATTACACCTAGACTTTGTAGGAGAAAGTCTTCCCCTTGTTTAGTACAACTAGACAGTTCTGTCATGTAGATGGCTATATCTGACTCCAATAATCCTATTTAGGACTACTCTACTGCCAGGAAGAAGTTATAACCAAGAGCTTAAATTATTAAGCACAGTGTTGTGGCACTATCCTTAGTGCTTTACTGATCCAAAAATCCCAAGAGTTGGGACTGATTACTATTCATTTATTTACTTGTAGTGTTGGGGATTGAACTCAGCTCCAACCACTCTACCACTGAGCTACATCACCAGCCTGCTGGTATAATTATTTCTACTTTATACTTGAAAAAACACAAGTCAGAAAGGTTAAGTATCTTTCCCAAGATCACACAGCCAGTAAGCATAGATGTAACAAAAACTCTCTGCTCTTTCCACGATACTAAAAAATAAGTTATTAAATTATAAAGTATTATAATAGAAGTTGAGTATCCAAAATGCTTGAAACCAGAAGTATTTTAGATTTCAGAATATTTATAGATTTTACTGGTGTTCTTCATCATGGTGTTCAGCACTTTAGATTTTGGATTTTCAGAGTAGGAATGCTCAATCTGTATATAATTTTTGTTTTAGTTGTAAATGGATATAATATCTTTATTTTATTTATTTATGTGATCCTGAGGAGTGAATTTAGTGCCTCATGCATTCGAGGCAAGTGCTGTACCACTGAGCCAGAACCCTAGCCTCAATCTGTACATAATTTCAAGAGGTTACAAAAACAAACACATAAAATAAAACAGAACATATGACAGAGAATGTGGCCTCAAAAACCTAAAATAACACTATCTGGCTATTTGCAGAAGCTTACTATCCCTAATCTTAAGAGAAATGTTACAGAATTTTCAAGATTTATGGTATAAAAACAGCATATTCAGAGCTGGGCATGGTGGTGCATGCCTATAATCCCAGTGACTTAAGAGGCTAAGCCAGGAGGATCACAAGTTTGGGGCCAGCCTGGGCAACTCAGTGAGACTCTGTCTCAAAATGAAGAAAAGGAGTGCCTCTGGTTCAATCCCTAGTACTACCCCCACCCCCCCACACACACACATACAAAATACCATATTTACCTGAGTGAACATTTCTTTAAAGGGATTCTTGACAGAGAAAAAATCTAAGTCAATATCTAAAACAAACGCATCCCCCTGCTTTAAGATTTCCATAATTTCCTCAGTGCTGGCTGTAGTGTGGCATTGCTGACTTTCAGAACATGAACATGATGGCTCCTGGCAAGCCTGGTCACTTCTCTGTGTCATGGTGTCTTTCATCAGTCCTCCTGAATCCAAGTCACAGTTAGCAGAGGCAGTGTTTTCTGCATTTCCCAGTGTTAGTCTGGGCTTCTTTGCAGAAGACACTGCAGCACTTTCTTCTGGATTGTCACAGAGATTACAAGGTTTCACCAAAATCACATCTAATTGTAATGGTTTTTGGTTCTCCAGCTGATCCTCAGGTACATAAAGACCATCACTTAGGAAGTAATAATCTGTACTTGTAACTCTGAAACAGAAGGAAAAACTATTTTAAAGAAGAATGGACAAATTAGCTGACATTGCAGCATTACAGAAATATAAGAAAAGACATATTTGACAAACACTGAGAGCTGCCTTTACCATTTGTATTCCTGTTCTGTAGAAATGGCATTATGCACATTCTTAGCTGGGCACACACAATTTCCCAAAGTAAAGACTATATTTCATATCTATTTTTTAGCTAGATGTGGCTATTTGAGTAAGTACAGTCCAGTGGTTGTGAATGAAGAAAAGTATATAGTGCCTTGCTCTCCCCCTCCTTGCTGATTGACAATGAGAACACAAAGGTGCAAAGTTATTTTGGACTATGAGGACTCTAAAGATGGTGAAACATAAAGGCAGAAGGATCATGGTTCCCCAAACTGTGGAGCTGCCACACAGTCTTAGACTGTGCATGCTGAATGCTTACACCAGAAGGAAATAAATCTCTTGTTTAAGCCCATGAGACTTTGGTTTCTCTCATATCAGCTGAATCTAAATCTGAAAAATTTGCTTAAGAGAAAATTAATAACTGGAAATAATTTCTTTTAATAAAAGCTTCCTCTGACATACTTCAAAGCTTCGTTATATTCTATATAACCACTGTATTTTTAACATGAAAAACAACTTAAAACATACCTATACACTTGTAGAATGTATTTCTAAGGTTGAAAATTTCTCTCTCTTTAAGAGACAGATGTCGTTTTGTTGTCCAGCCTGGGCCCCAACTCCTGGGCTCAACTGATTTTCCTGCCTCAACCTCCTGAGTAGCTGAGACTACTGGCTTGCACCACTATGCCTAGCTGGATTTCTGATTCTAGGCACACCAACATGTTCTATTTTCAATTATATTATACCTAGGTAAGAACTTAGAACAATAGAGTCAAATACTTCCAGAGGCATGCCTTATACAACTAAAGTAACAGTATTTATTTCTCACCTGCTCAGACCTAGCATACATAGCTGTAGATTTAGTTTCTAAAAATAGATTAATAACAATAAAACTAATGCCCAAACTTATTAAAAAATTTTATTTGTTACATTATCTGAAGAAAGATAAAGCTATATTTCCCAGGCTTAATTTATATTCTTTTTCATCATGGAAGTTTTGCTTTGTTCCTAGTTATATAAACACACTCATAAACTTAGGTTGTTTAACCATATGTAAGGTGTCTCTTCCATAATATTTTAAATTTTTGAGATGAGGGTCTTGCTATGTTGCCCAGGTTGGTTTTAAACTCCTGAACTCAAGTGATTCTCCCATTTTAGCATCCTGAGTACTGGGACTATAGGCAGTTTCCACCATGCTGTCCTTTCCCATGATTTTTACTTACAGGATTAACTAAAATCATGAGATAATAAAAATAATCCAAATGTCATTATCACATATTAAGTTTTGAATATCTGTCTAGATCATCCAAAATTATTGAATTTGGAGGTTAAATTAGGCTTATTCACTTAGTCAATAAAACTGACTCTTACTCATAGATCAGTATTGTGTACAATATTTAATATTGAGTCCTGATTATTTCTTTCAAATTGTACAATAAATACAACTTTTATATCACATAAAATTATTGTGTAAATGGTAAGAACACTTAATACTAATACCAAAGTTAAGAGTATCATTAAAACTATATCAGAAATAAAAAGTATAATTTTCAATGAGACAATTTCATCTTCAATGTATTACCATTTCATCTCATTATCCTTTAGCTTCTAGAAAGTTGTGCTTACACTACTTAAAGTATTCATCTCATCACACAAAAACTTAGAAATTCAAGAACACACAGATATTTCTAAATATAAACAGAACATCAGTTAAATAAATTATATGACGATAGATGCACATGTAACTCAAGGAAGAGGATGCTATAATTTAACTTAGTCTAAGCTATAATTTAATTAACTAAAACTTATATTAAAATAATATTAAAACCTAAACTCTACTAATTTAGTCATTGTATCTATTAAAAAAAAAGAAGAGAATCAAAGAAAAAAAATTTGCTCTCTCATTTCCTATTTGTTACATTCAACACATAATAGTTGCATTGGAAGGAGATCGTAAAATGTACCACTGAATATATAAATATATAAGGAAATTAAGTGACTTGTTGAGTTTAAATCATTGATGAAGGTCAAATTCTAGAAGATGAAGACATTTTATTAAAAAATTAATTTTACGAACAATGAAATATACACAGTATACGACAGAGGTCAAGAGACTTGAAAATCTGCTTTTGGTGTTTTAAAAACTCTTTTTGGAAGAGCTGAGGCTTAATCTGACCCTATTTGTTTATAGAAATACTTAGTTATTACAAAAATCCAAAATAAGATAGAAATATGCAACCCCTTTTGTATTTATAAATATGAGTGAATTACCTGATCGTTGTGGTAGAAGTGTCTTTACCTACTAAAAAGTGGTGTCTGCCTTCTCTGATTTGCTGAGCCCATGTGGGATGAAGCCATATTACGTGAGAAAAATGGCCAGCATAAACTGCAGGCATAATCCAATTTTCAATACTTAATTCTCTGGAAAAGAAATAGGGAAGAAGCATTAAAATTTAAGTGTTTTTTTTTTTCCCTGAATGTCATTTGAGCCACAATATTTTGAGAGCAGTCCTCAGAGTGTAGTTCCTTGGGAGGGTTCCTGAGATCTTCTGGGTCACAACTATTTTCATAAAAATAATAGGTATAATTTCCCTTTGTGTGTTGACATTTGCACTGCTGGTTCAAGATTAATGGTGGGTTGATGTCCTAAGATTAATCCAGGCAAGTGGCACCAAACTCCATGTACACATTTTAAAAGTTCATCAACACTTGTTCTAAATAAAATGAAAATGGCAAAAAGAAAAAACAAAACCCCATGAGCTTAGCAAAGTGTATTTCTCCTCCTCCCCTCCTCCAGTGTTGGGAATTAAACTCAGGACCTTAAGCATACTAGCCAAGAGATCTACCATGAGGGTACACTCATAGGCCCTCTTATTTATCATCTACTGCAAGTTGTATTTCAAACACATAAAAGTTCATCAATAAGAAATTACATTACCCAAAGAGTGTTTCCTTATCAAACACGGTGTCTGCTGGCATATTCACAGGAATAAGGAGGTCTGGATGTGAGTCAAAATGTAAAAAACTTATATTACTGGCAGGAAGATGCTTTGAGCCTATGGCCCGGTATATAAAAGGCAGAACCTATGAAAGACACATACACACATTCAGAAATGGGCACTGAAATCATGAGCATACACTTAAATACATACTAAAAACCAATGTTAAACATAACTGCACATAATTAAAAGCATACCATGTTATTAAAAAGTGAGAGAATAATGGGGCTAGAATTGTGGCTCAGCAGTAGAGTGCTCACCTAGCACTTGGGGGGCCCTGGGATCCTTAGCACCACATTAAAAACAAACAAATAAATAAAATAAAGATATTGTGTCCAACTACAACTGAAAAAATAAATATTTTTTAAAAAGTGAGAGAATAAAATGCATTTATTGTAGATAGTTCAGATGATGACATCAGGCTTTATTTTGTTCCTATGAACTTACAACTTGCATCTCCAGCTGTTGGTTCTAGCACTGACTGTGTGTTTTCAAGGTAACCTAAATCTCAGGGTCTATAAGGCTTTTTTCCCCCCTTACATCCTCTACAGTTCTAGGTTTAATACTGAATTTGAAAGCATTGCTTAACCGCCACTTTGGCCTTCTCTCAGGCCCATACACACTATATGTAGAGTTTCTGTGTCTTTCTCTTAACTTTTTCCATCCGTAATTTTTTTTTTTTTGGTGCTGGGATATATAACCCAGGACCTCAATCCTCAATGGTATGCGGGGCAGACGCTCTACCTCTGAGCTATACTCTCAGGTCCTCTTTCCCTCTTATATCCCAAAAAAGCGCCATAGCCTATTAATGCTTATTTTAAACAAATTTCTTAGATCCATGACACTCCTTTGATGACTCCCTCTAGTTTAAGGCAACGATTTTAATACTGTAAAGGGGAACGGTCATAAAAACGGAAACATCTTTTAACATTCATAAATGCTGGGCACTGTGGTTAAAGATTTATGAATATAATACGCACGAAAACTCCTATCGGCCCTGGGCGTACTATAATTATTGTTCCCATGTCACAGATGAGAGCTGTGTTGTTAGTATAAAGCCTTCTGCTTAAACAGCAAGCAAGCAGGGCTGTGAAAGAGATGCGGGAGACTGGTGCAAAACAGCGCCAATCGAGTGGAGAGCAAGGGGTCTCGGAGTCAGGGCACCTGGGTTCGAAATCTGACTCGTCGGGGCTCTGGGAGATTCTGACCCAGGGCCGTTTAGCCGCCCGCTCACCTCCTGATGATCCTCCACTACCCACACTGGGAGCTTGGAGTAGCACCTGAGGCGAGTGAGCTCTCCCGCAGAGTCACTCATGTCTGCGCGCCCCTCTGTGTCCCAGAGATTCCGAGGAACCCAGCGAGCACCAGAGAACGCCCAAGTCGCTGCCCCGCCACTCTCTCGCGACGGAAATGCGCGCTCACCCGGTTGCGCTTCCGGATTGGAGCACGTAGAGGGCGGGGGGACGGGCGCCAGAGCGCTCGACATGGACGATTGGTTTAGACGTCCATCGCTCTCGTTGACGGGCCAATCAGTGCGCACAAGGCACTGCGGCGTGCCCAAGAGATTTCCCTCCCTTGACCCAGTTTCGCAGGTTTGCTTTTTAATTCCCTCGGTTTCCTGTTCCGGAGGCGCGGGCGGCGCCACTGTCTTGGTGGTTGTACTATTAGCCTGGTTTTTCTCTGACCGCGACCTCGCTCCCCTTTTGTAAGTGAACGCGGCACCTTGCGGGTTGTGGAAGAGGGAGTGTTTCCGAGTGTTGGGATTTAAATCGGGCTGGAGCCCGTGTCTGGGGATGAAAGGCGCCTGAGAGTTGGGGTCAGGCAGCCTTTCTCCAGATCTGCTGCTAGGGCAAGAGAGTGACCCTAGGCCCGGATCTCATTGATAAATAGAATTGAAAAAGGATGGCTTTCATTCATTTGTGGAGTGCACGTGTGGTCCAGGCCCGGGGCCGTCGGAGTTTCCAAAGGGGCACGAGATCTTGATCTTAGGCAAGTCTGGTGCAGCTCACAGCCTGGCGGGAGATGCAAGCTGGTAATAAGCATCAGCTGGATGAAGGTGACGGGGCTGCCGATTGAACCGGGGAGTTAACACTCTTTGTAACTCTTTTTGCATTGACGTTACTGGACTTATTAATTGTTCAGAACATCGCTCTCAGTTTCCTTGCTTCCGAATAGTAACCTAGGAGTAAGCAGATGCAAGAAACAATTACTTTTCCAGACGCAGTCAATTCCTTGACTTTGAATTCAAGGTTGCACCCAGAACTTTAATTTCATGGTCAGTAGTTTTAGATTTTCGACTATAGAAACATCCAGTAGGATTTCGTAGTAAGCATTCAGTTGTTACACATTGTACAGTTGACCACTTCTAGCTTCAGTTCACTCCTTTGTGTTCGCCAAGATCCTGTACATACCTCTTTTGTTTATAGCCTGATATTGGTTTTGTTGTTGTTGTTGTTGTTTCTTGGTTCTGGGCATATTATATTTTTAAAAAATACTGTATGAGTTTTCTGAGTCCTGTTGATTCTGTGTCTTACTCATCTTTGAGTTCACAGAGCCTGGGACAGTGCATGCATAAAAGAAGGTATGCTTTCTGGGTGGGTTTTCTTTTCTTTTTTCTTTTTTTGGTATCAGGAATTGAACCCAGGGATCTTAATTATGGAGTCACACCCCCAGCCCTTTTTTTATATTTCATTAGAGGCAGGGTCTCCCTGTGTTGCTGAGGGCCTCACTAAGTTGCTGAGGCTGAGTTTGCACTCATGATCCTTCTGCCTCAGCCTCGTGAGTTGCTGGGATTCCAGGCAAGAGCCACCCTTCCTCTGGGTGGGTTTTGATGATGTGAATCTGCTGATACACATGGAAGAAATATGTACAGAAGTGACATAGAGACCATTGATGATCATACCATTGATGAGAAAGTAAAATTTATCGAGCACTTACTGTGTGCAGGATGCTTTGCCAGGGATTGTGAAGAATACAGAAATGACTGAGTCAACCAATGTGTCATCAAGGAGCAAATAATCTAGTGGAAGAGTTTGACTTGTGCACACATGAGTGTAACATGAGCCAGTGTCTGGTAAGTGCTGTAAAAGAAGTAAGTACAGACTAAGAGCAGTGGAAGTCTAGAGGGAATGGGATTATTTCCCAAGGGGAATCAAGAAAGGGTGATAGATTGAAATTCATGGGGCAGATTCATAGAGCAAGAGATTTTAAAGGGAATGGGAACAAAGAACAGATTAACTGGGAAAGTGTGGGGTAGTCAGGGCATCATGGGGAAGGTAATAGATTCTATTGGTGGTGTGTGGTCTGTGACAGGAGTTTTTTTTATTAAAAGCATTTTGCTAAAATTCAAATATTTGAAAATCCAGCTATGTTCACAGTGTTCTTCTGTGGGAATAGTAGAGAATGAAAATAATCATAACTGTCATGTTAACATGATTATAAATATTATAAATATATTTAAATGCTGGTCTTAGTGATTTTTGTGTTTGATCTATGCCTTATTTTACAATGAAGGAAGCTTTTGTGTGAAGAGGCAGCAAGGAAATGTTTCTGGTCCCCAGTCTTTTAACAAATTAAAGATGGCTTTAATCTTTTTAGCTGCTGATAGTTTTGAATCAGTAAAAAAAGAAAGACATCTTGGGTTGGGGTAGTGGCTCAGAGGTGGAGTGCTTGCCTAGCATTTGTGAGGCACTGGGTTTGATCCTCAGCACCACTTAAAAATAAAATAAGGTACTATGTACACCTACAACTAAAAAATAAATGTTAAAAAAAAAAAGAAAGATGGGGCTGGGGATGTGGCTCAAGCGGTAGTGCGCTCGCCTGGCATGCGTGCGGCCCAGGTTCGATCCTCAGCACCACATACAAAGATGTTGTGTCCGCAGAAAACTTAAATAAATAAATAAATTCTAAAAAAAAAAAAGAAAGACATCTTAAAATTTAGTTGGAAGCCAAATGTTGTAGCATACACTTGTAATCTCAGCCAATAGGCTGGGAAGATCACAAGTTCAAGGCCAGCCTTGGTAATTTAACGAGACCCTGTCTCAAAATAAAATTAAAAAAGCTAGGGACTGGGTGCAGTGGCCATGCCTGTAATCCTAGCGGCCTGGGAAGCTGAGGCAGGAGAATTGCAAATTCAAAGCTAGCCTCAGCACCTTAGTGAGGTCCTACACAACTTAGCAAGACCCTGTCTCTAAATAAAATATAAAAAGTGTTGGGGATGTGGCTTGGTAATTAAGTGCCCCTGGGTTCAATCCTGGGTGCCCCCCAAAATAAACAAATAAATAAATAAAAAGAGTTAGGGGTGTAGCTCAGTGGTAGAGCTTTGCCTAGCATGTGTGAGGCCTTAGGATTGAGCCCTAGTACCCACTGCCAAAAAAAATAATTTTTTTTTTAGCTGGAAACTTCAGTGCAGTTTAACATGCCCTTAATAGGCTAGATGTGTTGGAGAATAGGAAATCAATGTCAAGATATTTACAAAAATATTTTATAGCACTGGCAGTTTAGAAAACCTGATTATATATATTTTATTCCTTCTATCCTTTAGAACTTATATTCTCTGTGGAAGATGTGACATATCCAGACAGTGCATCATGATGCAAGGCAGTACGTGGTGAGTGGCAGGATATTAGGGATAGCAGTGCTGGGGAGAACAAAGAGAGGAACCAATTCAGGTTTCAGGCCAGAGAGGGTGTAAGGGACTTAGATAAATTGGAAAAGTGGAAAGTGTGCTCATTCTTAATAGTGGGCACAGGAGAACAGAGGTTCATGTACAGGAGTAGGATCCTAGACCAAAAGAGTTAATGAAACATCTAGGGCCCTTCCCTGATGAAGTGTGTGGTTCTGAGGACAAGTAGACAATGAAGGTGGAATTATGTAATTAGTCAGTAGATTATGGTCATTGTAGGACCTGCCAACAGGCAGCACTGTGTTGTGAGAGTAGGGAAACCAAAGAAGGCCCCCAGCAGTGATGGTGCTTAAAAGCCCAGCAAGGATGTTACTGTAGTAGCCAGACAAGAGACAAAGGTGTGAAATGGATTAATTCAGGAAGTATTTATGAGCAAAAGTATCAGTAACTTTTAT